GAAGTGCATATGTATAAAGGGCTTTGCACACACAGGTGGGCACTGGTGCCCACTGTCAGGATGGCGTTACCCCAGTGGGCATTGTTTGGGTGTTTATTTCAGATGTTTTACACTTACTTGAAAGAACCAAACTCACATCTGCTATTCTCTGAGCACAGGGAAAGGAAAGTGACTGTATATTCAGATATCAACCATGCACTGTGAGAGCTTTGAGAAGTACAGAAGTTTGGCAGGAGGGACACCTCCTCTCTCTGAGGAAGGGGCTGGAAGCTGGTCTTCCCCCTCCAAGCACAGGTGGATGCCCAAAGGCAACACTGAGCCATGGACATGGGCATCTCTATGGGGACCCTGCTAAAGGAGACTGTTCCAAGTGCCCCAAAGAGATCGAAAATGAAACCTGAAGACCATCGTTGTAGGATAGCGATGCATAACAAAAATGTATGTGCCCACCTTACAACACTGCTGAGTTGCCAAAATACATAAAATTATTTGAGTTCTATTTTTATAAAATAGTTTTAGATTTATGGCAATATATACATGTGTATTTATAGCCTTTCCATTCTAAGTTATAGTTTTGTGCTTTAAAGAAATATATGTATGACTGAAAAACTGGGTATTGAAAACACTATATTCAAATTATTTAAAGACTGTAAGTCTGCATTCAATAAAAAGTAATGCAAAGAAAGATGGTGTTGGTCATTGTTTCTCCCCAGAAATGCTATAACAATTTTGATGTAAATTCTGTGAGCTGGGTCAACGATTCATTTGCCTTTGAGATCTGTCAGCGGTAATGGCAGATGCTTTTAGATACATGAACTGAGAGAGAAAAGAGAGGCAGGAACTTCATCTATCCTAGTGTGTGACACACCACCATGGGGTGGGGCAAGGGGCAGAGAGGCTTCACAGGGTATTTGCGATCAGATTGGCAGAAAGCTAGGTGTAGAACTAGGTATTTCCACTGAGGCCTAAACAAACATTAGGGCAAGACAGAGTGGAGGGGAAAGCACCCAGCTCAGCGGTGGGATGCCTGGACTATGAACCCAGCTCTATGTCTAACTGACCATGGACTTCCTTGTCTGTAAAATGGGAACGTTGATATCAGCACTACCCACTTCCAGGGTTGTGGCAGGATGACATAAGACTGCCATTGTTTGAAAACTTAGGAAGTGATATAAAAACCTAGCATTCTTATTGCAGGCTCACATGTACCTGTGTGCACAGATCCCTCAGCCTGCACAACCCAAAGATATATTCCAAGCTGCAAAAGCCCCCTCCACAGTCACAATAATCCACAGAACCAGAAGTGAGACTCCTCCAAATGGAAACCCAAATGCTTTCTAGTCAGAGCCTAAAATAAACCTCAAAGTATTTTATGATTTGTGTGATTGGGATGCAGGAAAGGCATTACCCAAGAAGATAAGGGCTAAGAATGTTCCAGGGGGAATGAAGGAGATGGAAAGATGCAGGATCTAAGTAATGTGGGCTTGCTCTTATCATATATATCACACTTGGCCCCCATATAACCAGGTGTAGACAACAGAAAGAGAAGAGTATGAACAGGCAACATACAAAATAATGCCGTCCCATTCCTTGTTGTCTCTGAAGGTCCTGTGGGGGTGGATGTTGGCATATTCAGGTAAAAATGCAGGGACGAGTCCCTCCCAAGTTCACAAGAGCAACCAGAAGTTTCCAAATTACTCCAAAGCAGTTCTCCTTGGGAGGTGGAGGGAGAACCATTGCCTTGGTTTCCCTCTATAAATTCAGAGGATCTCCCTGCTTTTATTTCTCTGAGCTTTCCTTCCAAAGAGACCTCTTGAGTCTGTAGGATGGACAATATGCCATCCCTGGGAAAAGCTGGCCTCACATCACGTAAGAGGACCTTTCTAAAAGCTCTGTTCTCCCTTGTTTCCTAAGGGCCAGCTCTCTCCTTGCTTTTTTCCTACTACTTCTTCCATCTCCTTGTGGTATTTCACTTCATTGGGTGCCGGGATTCTGTTCTTAGTCTCTAATTTCTTATATTAAAGGAGCAATAAAATAGCAGGCTAAGCGGATGCAGACAGGCCCCCTCCACCTATAAAAAACATACACACAAAGAGAAAGTTGTTTGAAACATATAGTCCAGTTTAAAAGAAAGAAATCCTTACATTCCGAAAACAGAAGGAGGAGGAGGAGGGGGAGGAGGAAGAAGAGGAGGAAGAGGACGTCCCAAACAGAGTAGTGAGCAGGAGCTAAAAGAATATCAGACCAGATGCAGACGCTACTGGCTGACAGCATGGTTTACTATCCCTGCAAGGTAAGAGGACATAACCTCAGCCCAGGCAAGGTGGGAAATGCAGCTAAACTTCCCACACAAAATCAGAATCTCATAGAGGTGTCCCAATCCTGTAAAAAAGGACTAGAAAACCTCTTCCCACTAAGCCAGGCGAGCATTGAGAAATGGTGCCATTTGCTCAGGGCTGTAGATGTTGGAAAAAAGACATCAATGAGGAATTAAACTATAACCTGTGTCATATTTGGATGTGAAATCTGAATTTATACAACTTATCTGTAAAGTAGGAATTCCAAGCTAGTCATTTTTTTTAATTCCCTGGGTCAATAAGACCTAAAAGGTCTCAACAGAATCAAATACAATACCACTTTCCACAACCCTGGACACAAAACACTCACAGGGGGAAAATACTCCATTAAAGATGAGCTTACAGTAAAAAAATATAAACAGCACAAGAAATGGCTCACATGTGGGAAAGCAGCAGATAAAATGAATGGGAGAATTAACATCACAAAGGCTGGAAAGAATAGGTGACTCAGAGACAAGCTATAAAATAGATATGTTTAACATTAAAAAGAAATAAAAATACAGGGAAGATACATGTAGGAGTTTAGGAAGAAAGGATTAGAGAAAATGAGGGGAAAGAACTAGTCAAAGAGAAAATGGCTAAGAATATTTCAGAATCAGAGAAAGACATCTTTCTAAAACTCACGGCTCATAGAAGAAATAATAATGAAAAATTTTAAATTTGGAGCAGAATGATAATAAAGATACTTCATATCAAAATCTCTGGGATACAGCAAAAATGATGCTTTGGAGGAAATTTATAGCTTAAAATACTTACATAAGAAAAAAAGAAAGACTGAAAATTGATGATCTAAGTATAACTTGAAAAGTAAAAAAAAAAAAAAAAAGAACCAAACAGTAAACTCAAAGGAAGCAGAAGGAATAGGAAACTCAAATAAAGTAATAAGATTAAAAACAGCTATCAATGAAGGAGAAAAAAAAATAAAGAAACTAAACAAAGCAAAAGTTGACTTTTTTAAGACTAACAAAATAGACAAATCTCCAGTAAAACTAATTTAAAAGAGAAAGTCAGAAACAATGCTATGAATAAAAAGTTGACAATAAAGTAGACATGGAAACTAATTCTAAAAAATGTGTATTTCACAATAAAAAATAATTTAAAAAAATAAAATAAAAAATAAGAGAATACATAAAACACTGTAAGCCAATAAATTTGAAAATTTAGATACAAATAGAAAAATTCTTAGAAAAATATAATTTACTAAAACTGATGAAAGAAGAAATAAAATTTCTTATAAATCTTAAATAAACTGAAGCAGTAGTTTAAAATCTTCCCACTCAGGGAAAAAAGAGGCGGAAAGAGGAACATAAAATTCTCTCTTTTTCTATACTCTCTTATTTATTCTCTGAACCTACTTTAATATCCAAACCAGACTAGGACATACAACAAAGAAAAAGCTACATGCCCATTTCACTCATGCATATATATCCAGAACAAATAAACAAAATATTAGCAAGCAAATTCTAACAGCATATAAAAAGGATAATATACCAATGACCAAGCCAGGTTTATCCAAGAATGCAAGTTAATTTAATATTAGAAGATATCTAAGTTTCATTACTCATCAATAGCTTAAAGAATAAAAATAATATTGGGTTGTCAGAAAAATCATGAAGTATTTTTTCTATGTTTTTCGTTGCAAAAATGCATCATGACTTTTCCAACAACCCAATAGTATTCAAATAAATTATTATAAAAAGTGATACAGCATATTGCAAAGGCACCAAGCTAAAATTCTAGTATTGAAAGCTTAAATAATTGACATAAACAACCTGATTGATAGCTTTAATAGCAGTTAAGACACAGCTGCAGAGAAAATTAGTAAACTGGGTTACAAATAAAAATTAATGAATGAATACTCACATACATACATACATACAAACAGTCTCTAAAGAAGCATGGAAGAAAAACACAGAAGAGAAGAGACATAGAGAATATGGTGACAAGGTCTAACATATATTTACCTGGAGTCCCTGAAAAGTGAGAAAATGGGACAGAAGCAATATGTGATGAGATAATGGCTCCAATTTTTCCAAAACAAAGGACTTAAATTCAGTTTCAAAAATCTCAACAAATCCCAGGCAAGATAAATAAAAAGAAATCAATATATAGGCACCTCCTATGGATTTTCAATCCTGACTTGCCTGGGAAGACTATTTGGACCCTCTGAGCCTCAGTTTTGTAAATACAAAATAACACAATACAGCCTACTTTATAGGGATGGTAAAATGATTAAATGAGATAACATATGGAAAGTGTTTAGCATGTCACCTGACACTTTCTGTAATTGGCTGTAAATGTTAGCTATTGTTATTCATCAACACTTGCCATACCAGATTGAAATCCCATGTTTACCTGGTTGTGAGGGTCGCAAAGGCAAGTCACCTCCGACCACCACTGCACCTTTTTGCACCCCAGTGGTGGGTGCACATTAGGTGGTGCAGGCATCCAGAAAGAGAAATTCCTCATCTCCCCACTCTGAACGCAAGGCGCTGTCGCTGAGTGGTGCAAAGGATCCTCAAGCTCCACCCTCCCCGGCTCTAGTCACGCCCCCAGCGCATGGCCACGCCCACTTTTAAGGGGCTGAAGAGCAGTTGCCTAGCAGTGTGTGTTGCGCAGTAGCCCTGGCAGGCGGGTCCAGCCATGCCCAAGAACGCATTGGTCATCTTGCGTTATGGCCCATACAGCGCAGTTGGCCTGTCTGTGGAGCACCGCACCTTCCGCCTGGAGGGCCTGCAAGGTGGGCAGCGACCGCCAGAGGGCCACCCAGCTGTGTGTGCTAAGTATACCCTCGCCTCTGAGCATCCGTGCAGGCTGTGCTATAGACCTCCTTACTTCCTCAGACCCAGCCCAAGTGCCACCTCTTCTGGAAAGTCTTATGTGAGCCTTCACCGCCCCAGGACGATTTAGCATCTTCCTCTAGCTTCCACTGCTTCAATATAAGAATGGGAACAGATATGTGTTGTGGGCCCACTGGGCGCCGGGCAGTTTATACAAATTACCTGGGTAGAAAGGATTATATACCCTGCTTTACACATTGGGAAACTGAAGATCAGGAATAGTAAATGACTTATCCAAGGTTATATGACTGACTGGAAAATGAGTCTATCCCTTGATCATTCACTCATTCAACAACCTTTACTGAGCACCTAATGTGTGTCAGACACTCTTTCAGGCACTGGGGACATACTGGTGAACAAAGATATATTCCCTTGAAGTGAGCTTCTTATTGTTGACTACTAATTTACAGGAGTGCTAAGCCTCAGACAGAGGAATGTAATCATACTAGGTTCTGCCACTGGTCATATTTGGAGGGGAGAGGGCAAAGATCTGGAAAGGTTTATTTGCTGAAATTACATTTGAATTGAGCTTTAAAAAGTAAGAAGAAACTAACCAGGTCAAGAGAAGAAAGAACATTCTAAATGGAGGGACTAATATCTGCAAAAGCTAGAAGCATGAACAAATGATATATCTGTTGAACTGATGGGAAGATTAGGTTGGAGAGGTAGACAGGGACCAGATCCTGTAGGGCCATATAAAAGTTTTAGGCAGGGGGATGAAAGTGTGGCTGTTATGAGAAGAACAGATTAGAGGGGGGCAAGAATGCAAGCATGGAGACAAGTCAGGGGGCTTTTGGGTGGTCCAGGGGAGAGATAGTAGTAGCTTGGGCCAGAACCCCCATACAGAGGTGGTGGATTAAATAAAAGTAATGGCACCCCTAAAAGGATGGAGATGGAAGGCAACCATCAAGAGGCTGTCCTCTGGATCCAGTCTGTTCTGGCTTGAACCAAGTGCTGATGGATGGAAATGCTCTACACCAGCGGTTCTCAACCTTTCACAGGGGTCGCCTAAGACCATCGGAAAACACATATTTTCGATGGTCTTAGGTACCGAGACACCGCTCCTCTATCCGTCTCCAGGCCCACATGCAGACACGCCCACATACAAGTACCCGACGACCCCTGTGAAAGGGTCGTTTGACCCCCAAAGGGGTTGCAACCCACAGGTTGAGAACCGCTGCTCTACACTAAAACTGAG